TCACCTCGTTCACGGTGTCACAAAAGACCATCATGCGCACACGCTCCCCATTCGCCTGACGCATCACCCGCGTGTCCACAATGGCTTGCACATGCGACAAAAAGTTTAGCTGGTTTCCGTGAAGCACACGCAGCTGCAGATCGCGACGCATCGTCTCCAGACGGTACACCTTGCCCCCGACTTGCTGCCCCAGCTTCCGAAACAGATGCTCCTGGTCCCCGATGCAAAGTGTGCCCGTCAACGCCACGCGTTTGATGTTGGTCCATCCGCCAGAACCCACACTGGCTGCGACTTCGTCCATCACATCTCGGTAGCTGGCATCCGAGATGAGGGTGTGCGCCTCGTCCATCACCACGGTGCGGATGTGCTGAAAGCAGACCTTCCCGTGTAGGGATTCAGATCCCACGCGGACAAACATGTCGGTCGTAACGATGAGCACGTCCAGGCCATCTGCCACCTGTGTAGAGGGACCAAGCCATCGCTGGGCACTGTGACCTGCGCCTTGAAGTCGCCGCAATAAATCGTTGGCCACGGCCACAAACGGCACAATCCACAGCACCGTACCGGCATGCGGGCGACAGCCCAGCTTGGGCAGGGTACAAAATGTTTTGCCCATGCCTGTCGGTGCAACAACAATCAGCCATCCATCCTCCGGCCGGTGCTGGTCAATGGCCGCGGCCAGGTCCAACTGTTCTTGGCTGTTGAAACTGTGGCCCCACGAGATGCTCGCCTGCTTGGCCAGCTGGGTCATGTAGGGTACGTCATGCTCGGCCCTCGTGTTCATGATGATACGCCCGTTTGCCTCGGGTGAGAGGTCAGTCACCGGGTTCCAGCTGATGGGATAGCGAGCTTCCAATGCTTCTTGGTTCGCGGTCAACTCGGCTATGCTGCGCTTGCGATCTAGTCCAAACAAAGCATGCCATTTTTGCGAGGCCACTTGATGCATCAATCGCGACGACATTTTGGTTTGCACGTGGTCACTGGCTGTGCGTGCATAGGCCCGCTGGGCCGTGTCCCCAGAGTGTTGAGCTTGAGTGTGGATCAGGCTGCCCAGGGCGCCGGTCGTCTCGGCCGACAGTCGGTTAATCACAAACGTCGTCATCCAGAAGGTTGCGGCGTGTCGCCACGTGGCCACCCCCAGCTTTGGCCGATGCAGGTACGTGGTCATTTGTCGACGAAATGCCGCATAAATGGTGGCTGGGCTGACCATCGTCTGCAGGGGCGCAATGTTGAAGAGCAGGTGGCTGTTGTTGTAGTGGTTTCGAGCGTCCCGGACCTCGCGTCG